CTAGCTGCTTCTGGAATACTTAGACCAACTCTGTTTATTCCTCTCTTCTGATGATCTTAATGAAAATTCAGGTCCTTCGGAATTGTGCAGGAAGATCCCGGGGATCAAACACTGAGTCACTTTCCAGCTCTTCCACTGATAGTGAATATTTGCTGAATTAGGAAAGGACTGAATTTCTACAGTATTTCCGAGGGGTTTAAATAAACTGACCCTCTTTATAGACATAACAGGGACTTACGTAAGTTGAATGTAAGGAAATGGAAGCAGGTTTTCCTACAGCTTGAGGGCTGCGAACCTCAGGTACCTGTTCAGTGGTACCTCTGAATGACTGCCTCATGTCTCCCACCTCAGACGCAAGTGTGTTAGGAAGCAGACTGATTATTTCTGGGAATTTCTGGAGTAGGCATTGCAAATCTCTGCTGCAAGGGTTCTGATGAGTGAAAGAGTGCAAAGAATCAGAATCTTCTTTTCTATTAAATGCCTTTTTATGTCTGTGTGTACATAATTTTAAAAAACATTTCCTCCTTTTAACTTTTCATTCTTTTAACCATTAGTAAATGTATTTAGCCATAATATGTGTTTTTATTAAAATGGTGGCTTACTGTTTATTGTACATTAGACATTCTGACTTTGAAATCATGAATGTCAAAGATTAACTAAAGATGCAATAGTCAATTGCCTTGTCTGCCCCCCAGTTAGGGACCCGATCCCATTCAACCTTATAGACCTAACATGTAGCATAAGGTGATTTTTTTCTGTTCAAGATTCCTGTACTGGACATTATATTAGATATCATCTTTTACAAGTAATAATGTATTTGTTACAGAATCTATTTGTCTAATAATTTAAGCAAATCTTGACATTGTGTATTAGATGGAATAGGAACAATACTATTTGAAAGACCTAGATGGGTAAATGAAAATATAAATTAGTTTATAGGGCACAGTCTACAGGAGCCTCCCTAAGTCCCTGCCGATGCTGACTCCCTTCCCCACCACTGACATGATTGCCTTTGTATTCTTGCCCTATTTTTGCAGATAAATACACAGGGGCTGCAGAATTGGAGGTGCATGTCCTAGGATGCACAGGCAGACTCCTGCAGGCCCTCTGACGGCAAGCCGAGGGCTCTTGCCTGGCTGTCGGTGGTGCATACATTTTACAAATCACTTTTCTGCAATGACTTTAAAGGTTGTATAAACGCATGCCTTCTTCAGTTGCAGTCTGCCAGTGGTTCACAAGCATAGTTTTAGTGCCCTCTATGCCACAGAATGATCACCCATCAGAAACAGTGAGTGTTTTTAGTTGTGGGGTTTCTGAGTATGTGACCTCTTTAGGGGTCCTGGCAGGAGGGCTATGTAGTTGACAAAGGATGTGGTTCTGGGTCACTCCCTGGAATGATGTCCCAAACATCATTGAAAACTTGCTGAAACTGTCATTTTGTTATCTTTAACTTGTGATTCTTATTTCAATTTGATTTATTCTTAATTAAGTACTGTGCAGCTTAAATTAAGAGATATGCATAAGGTTTTGTTTTAGATTCGAAACTGCACAAGTATGCATTTACCTGGCTTGTGAAACTCTCATGTGAAATGAGATTGAGCTGGAAGAGTTATAATGTGCATATGATGTACCAACAGTGTGAGATTTCTGGTGTAAAAAGAGAAAAGTAATATTCCACCATGTATTTTGCACTGGAATGCCTAACATAATTGTTGAAATTGGGATAATGCATTTTAAAATAGATATTGTGAAAGATCTTCTCAAGTTAGTACCAGGAATTTGAGTACTTTGGGCATGGAATTCATAGATGAATGCACACAAGAATCAGGAAGCATAACCCGGCACAGAGACAGGTGAAGAAGGACTTTTTAGCATATTCACATTTTGAAAGGCTAAATGTTGACAAGGGAAGAAATTGCCTCTGAACAGATCAAGAGGGCAAGAAGGAGATTTCTTGAGGCAAATTTTAAGCTAAGTGAGCACTATCAATGGGGCTGCTGCACCGAGAGAGGATGCAGTGTGCTCTTCCACTTGGCAGGAAGTTCACCAGTGCCCATCCAGGGAAAGGCAGCAACTTACGCCCTAGAGATTCTATTGCCACTTGATTTAAGGGATGAGCTCGGTGATCCTCCAGTCCCAAGGGGAATTGCATCCTGACTTCAGGTTAGTTGGGAATAAGTAATTCCAAACATCCCCACTCAATCAAATGTACATTTATAAAATAAGAAAGAATATTTGTAAATGTCAGATGTAATAAATATATTGCTCTCTCTTCGTGGCTAGTGTGTATATAAAAAAAAGTAATTTAAGACTTAAAGAAAATTTCATCCAAAAAATCATACCAATTTTATCCAATAATTTTTTTTCTTAAGTTCTACTATATTTCAAGCCAAACATATCTATGCTTCTCAAAGATATTTAAAGTCTCTACAGGCTTAAATGTGCATTTCTTTTCAGAAAATACATTAATGACAATTTCCTTCAAGCCATGAGATGTTTAGAAAAAATATAAGGAATTTAAGAACCGAAATAATTCCACCAGAGTGCCAGCGTTTATAGGTCTGAGGGTCAAGAAGTCAACATTTTAAATTCATAGATTTTAGTTAAATATGTAGATAGTTTAAAGAAGAGATGGGGAATTCTCACATTCATTAATAGTTTTGGAATAGCTAACATATATGGATATAAAACTGACATTTGCACTGGATAAAGTATTTTCACCTAAGAATTTCTTATTTGACTTATAGAGCATCCCTGAATATTATATTATCTAAATTTAATGTAAACAGAAACTGAGACTCCAAAAATTTGCAGAGAGAATCCAATGTAACAAGTAATTAATGCCATGATCACTAGAAGAACTTTGGTTCTAAATTTTGTTTTAACTCTATTCTACTACATCTCTTCAGAAGAAAATTTCAGTGTAAAGCCACAGAATTATTTCAGACATTTTCTGATTATTTTCATTTGTATAAAACCACAGCAATCTATGCCCAAGAGAAATTCAATTGGGACAGGTCTTTCTCATTATGCTTCCTCATAGTGAGATAACAGATTATAAGATAACCAAATGGAGCTGCCTTCTGACTAACAAGACCTTTTATGCACACAGAGGCGAGTACGGCCAGCCAGTTGTAAAATGGAGAAGCCTTTACACACTGCCTTTGTTATTGTCAGGACTGTAAGTGGGAGGAATGACAACAACTCAGACAGCAGATTTTTTAAAGATTTTGGAATGAGTGTGAATAGAGAGCAAAGAAAGCTATGACATTGTAAAAAAAATTTAGAGGGAATTTAGGGAATGATAAAAGTTAGAGCCCAAATGTCAAAGGTGTGGAAGTAGCTGAAATGCTACTAATATTTATGCTGCTATAAACTGGACAGTGTTTTCCCCTCATATACACATTTTCATGGGCTCCATTAGTGGAAACTAGAAAGGTAAGTAAAAATGAAGCACATTGAAATCATGCATGGTGTCAAGAAAATTTATGAAGCCTGGCATCAAAGATTCTCAAATTGACAGGAAAGAGAATATAAACAGGAAATACAGAGTTTGCTCTTAAAAATCAGCTGTCTTCATTATGATTTATGTGATTCACTCATTTATGATTGAATTTTACTAGTCATATTAATGATTACATGTAGTTAAAAATTAAACAGACTCATTGTCACATTTTATTTGACAACAACTGGAAGAGGCTAGTTGTTTTTCTGGGCTGTAGGTAAGAGCACATATAAGCTGAGGCTGCCTGGTCCAAACATCCTGCCACTAACAGCCTGTGGGGACCTTGAAACATTGCTCACAACTCTGCCATTGGTGAAAAGGGGTTTTATAGCTCCTTACTTAGGACTGTTGTGAGACTCAGTGAGTTAATAAATAGGAAGATCTTGGCACAAAGGAAACCCTTCACATCATTGTTGGATCTATTCTTATTAGTATTTTTTTTCTGTGCAATGGACCCACATTGTCATATTTTTAGAATATTTCATGGAGCACACACCAATTTGATCAATTTATCTCACAAACATATTGGTAAAACATATCTTGATTTGACATATTTAACATTAAAACACATGAAAAAGCATCTCTAACTTCCAAGAGTTTTTTGTGGATTTTTTTCCTTAGTCATCACCTGAAATTATACCTCAATTAATTTTTCTTAATTATGAATGACTATGAAAATTTTTCAGATTGCAAAAATGACAGGTGAGTTACATCTCAGTGTGTATGTCTCTGTGCTATTTCCTCGGAATCCTAATTGTTAATGTTAAGTTCTAATAGCTGATGCTCATGCTGATCATAATCCTAAAGCTAATTCTTTGCTTTCCTAAATTCGAAATATCTTTCTTAAAAATATACAAATATAAATCTGGAATAGTGAATGACTCTTGTATTGGATCACCCTTCCATTGCTGAGTTTGTGAGAATAATTTCAATTTTTCACTCTATTTGCACCCATAAATTTTGCCTGCAATATGGACAAAAGGATGCCAAAAAAAAAAGAAACTCATAATGTAGGCAGAAACTCTAGTTAAAATTGTAGACCACCCATATTTGTGACTAAATGGAGAACATAAGCTACCCAGAACCAGGATTGAGATGTTTTGGAGATGGTGGTGATGATGATTGCTATAAAGATTCATATATGGAAGTTATAGATTTAAACATATGTAAGGTAGTATGTTCACACACACATGCACACATGCATGCAGAAGCACATGTGTACACACACACACACACACACACACATATGCACCAGACCAGGTATAACTTTTACATATCACAGTATGCACCCTTAGGTTTTGTTCATATGCATCCCTGCTAACATCTATTGGCATCATCTTGTTGTGCATTTAAATAATTATTGATTTAAAATAAAATAATTAATTTTCCTTAAAAACATTTTAGAACAGATTAATTGCTGGATATCAGAGCCAAAGTCATAAAAAAATTTTTTTTAATTTTTTCTTTCAACTTGTGGAAGCTTACTATTGTTGTATTAATTCCTTACAGATATCATCATTTTACTTGGAAGATTCCAGATCACAGTGGTGCCACTATGGGTTCAATGGATAGGTACAACACATCCTCCTTGAGCTTCACCTTCAGGGGTCTGTTCAACAGGAAGGACATTGCAGGCTTTCTTTTCGTCATCATCTCCCTCATCTTCTTCATTGTGCTGGTGGCCAACGGGGTCATGATCTTCCTGATCCGCATGGACTCCAGGCTCCACACCCCCATGTACTTCCTGCTCAGTCACCTGTCCTTCATCGACATGACCTACATCTCCACCATCGTGCCCAAGATGCTGCTCGATTACGTGCGGGGTCAAAGAACCATCTCCTTTGTGGGGTGCATAGCTCAACACTTCCTCTACCTCATGCTGGTGGGGGCCGAGTTCTTCCTGCTGGGTCTCATGGCCTACTCCGCTACGCGGCCATCTGCAACCCGCAGCGCTACCCTGTCCTCCTGAGCCAGAGGGTCTGTTGGGTGATCATAGCGGGGTCCTGGTTTGGGGGTTCATTGGACGGCTTTCTGCTAACACCCATCACCATGAGCTTCCCCTTCTGCGCTTCCTGGGTGATTAACCACTTCTTCTGCGAGGCCCCCGCGGTCCTGCGGCTGGCATGTGCTGACACAGCGCTCTACGAGACGGTGATGTACGTGTGCTGCATGGTGATGCTGCTCATCCCCTTCTCTGTGGTGATTGCCTCCTGCGCCCAAATCCTGACCACCGTGCCCCCCATGAGCTCAGCGAAGGGCAGGCAGAAAGCATTTGCCACCTGCTCATCCCACATGACGGTGGTGACATTGTTCTATGCGGCTGCCATGTACACCTACAGGCTGCCTCACTTGTACCACAAGCCAAACCAGGACAAGGTCTTCTCCGTGTTCTACACCATCCTCACCCCGATGCTGAACCCGCTCACCTACAGCCTGCGAAACAAGGATGTGACTGGCGCTCTGAAGAGGGCACTGGGCAGGCTCACAGCATGAAGAGCGGTGGGAAGCCTTGTAGCAGCGGCCTCCCTCTCATGCAGACTGTGACTGGCAGGCCCTGCGGTCAGCGTGGCCATGCATTCAGTGAGGGGTTAAACAGGAGAGGGCTCCGTTGTGCAGAAAAAAGGAAAAGGATCCATGTAAAGAGGGTGGCCTCTTGGTCTCTCTCCCTCATTCACCTCTTCTTTCCTTTCTTACATCTCCCCTTTCTCTTGCCCTGTATTAAGAAAAAATATCCCCCCATGGTTTTTGGTCACATAAATTAAAATTACTTGCTCTACAGTTTTACCTTTTAGAGGTAAAACTCCAGGGATAAAACATATTCTCAGCCTGGGGCAAATAAATCTTTGAAACCAAATTAGTAAAAGAGAGAAATAAAGTGGGAGAAACCTTTCTACTGCTCCCAAGTAGCTGTCTACTCCTGTAACACCTGTGTCTCTTGCTAGCTGGCTGCAAAAAGACCCCCACCCAACGTCTCCAGTCCAGATATTCCCTGTGCGGCCTCATAATCACTATTGATATGGAGATGCACTAAGGCCAGGACAGAGATTCTGGAAATACTGCAATATTACCCACAGGAGGTAAATTACATGTGACTTTAAATGGCATGAACTGTTCCTAGGAGATCAGGGAGAAAGATGGTACTTTGGGGATGTATAGTACTGCCGTATAACCTAGGAAACCATTTAAAAATAAGAGAATTACCACCTTTTCTATTCTGAAGGGTAATACCCTGAAACAGACTTTTAAGAAGATAGTTCTGTATGTGTTCTGATTTGTCAGGTGGAAGGAAAAGTTACTGAATATAATTTTCTAAAATAGCCATGTACTCAGTGTAATCATCATGTGTTTGATACTTGAAGAAGAAATAAATTTAACTTTTGTTTGTCTGTAACACATTAGTGAATAGTATTTCTCAGATAAGCTAATACTGATGGCTAAAAGCACAGGATATTGCATAGAGAGGACAACATAAGAGTACTGAATGTCTGAGTGTTTTTCAAAATGTTAGAGAAACATAGAGGAGTATGGGTTGGGAGGATACTGAAATCATTTTTCAAATATGTAACAGGGTCATTAAGATTAAGCATATACCATCAGGGAAGAGGTCAGCTCAGAGTTCATACCCATGCCCCCCACGTCTCCAAGAATGGAGGACAGTAAGCATGGTCAATGTGCTGTTTGATTTTATAAGGGATTAACTGAGGGATCAAAAATGAAATATTATCATCGTATTGGTTGATAATGCATAAAATTTAATGATTTACATGCCTTGCCAGATTCATCCTCCAAGAACCTAGTAAGAAATGCAGCACCTCTTATTTGTCCTAAATTATACATGAGAATAGTCGGGCTCACAGATAAGGGGCTTATGTAGGGGAACATTTTTGATTAGTACACCAGATCACAGGGTTTCAAGATATGCAGTGATTGAACACTACACCTTTCAGATTCAGCTTCCTCCTCCATTCATCAATTTATTTGCTCATGTATCATAGCTGTGAGCAAGACAGATAAAACACCTGCACTCAAGATGTTTACATCCCAATGGGGGAAAGACAATGAAAAGGAAAAGAAGCCAGCAAGCAGAAAAACCACTTATATCTCCACATCACACTGTATGTAGCAGCAGAGACTTAAGCCGAACATGTCTGGGCTTGGTGCCCCAGCAGGCATGCAGTTGGGTGAATTTCTGACAGAGGTGTTTGCATAGTCTTTGCCAAAAGGTATGTGGTAACAGACAAAAGAAATAATCTCACTGATGGTGAAATGGATGAATAAATTGTGATATATCCACACAACAGGAGTGCACGTTCTCATACTGCTGGCAACAATGTGGATTAATCTCAGAAACATGAAGAGGTAAAGAAACAAGTCACCAAAGATACACTGAGCTGAAGAATAGATGCAGCAAAACATGCTTTTGGAAGGTCAGTGGCTGGCAGGCTGCACAGGTAGTTTTCTGTTTCTTCCTGTGAATGCAGATTATATGCCCAGTGTTCAGCTTGAGAAAAATGATCAAGTTCAACCTCTCTGCATATTGAATATGTTTTTATGCTTATTATGCTTCAATAGGAAGTCAAATGTAATTCATAGTACATACCTACCTCATTTTCTTTATCGATTCATCCATCAGTAGATGCTCAAATTGTTGCAGTGTTTTAGTTAATGTGATGTTTGCTGCAATAAATACTGTGGAACACGTATCTCTTCAAGGCGGGGGTTTGTTTCCCTCAGATACGATATCCACCTAGGAGTATCATTGCTGGATTAGGGGGTAGTTCTGCTTTTAATTTTTAAAGTGCTTCTACACTGTTTCTCACAGTGGCTGCACCAACCTGCCATCTCATAATGGTGTAAAAGGATCCCCTCACCCACACTTGTCTTCTGTTGTCTTATTGATGACTGCCATTCTTGTATGAAGGTTTATCTCATTGTGTTGTACACCTTGAACTAATATAATGTTATAAGTCAATTCATCAATAAAACTGGGAAATAGAACTGATGATATAATGTGGTATATGTGAGAAATGTGTAGCAGAGTGGGCTAGTGGAGAACAGCGGAGTACTACTCAAGCTGTGTGGTCAAGGGGGCCCCCCCAGTGAGGCTTACATTTGAGCAGGAGAGAAAAAAGGCATAGGGATGTCCAGGAGGAGAGCCTTCCCGTCAGGAAGGACAGCAGGTGTTGGTGCACTGAAATAGGGAAGGTCTGTTCAGAAAGCTGCTCAGTGAGGCTGGTCCAAAGTGATGGATAGAGAGACAAGTCTGGAAATGGGCAAGGGCCAGATCAGCAGATCCCCATATACCCCCCACACACATTGGAGCCTTACTTACATTTTAATGAAAAGCCATTGATGGATTTCAAGTAAAGGAAAGCCAGATAATGACTGACATGTTGAGAATATTCCCCTGGCTGCTTTATAGAGAATGGAATATAGGAGAAGGCTTTAAAGCAGAAGACCTCTCTGGAGGCTTTTATTGTGTTCTGAGGAGAGACATCCTAGCATGAGTTTTAGAAGTGGAGGTGATAAAAATATACTATGACTGGGACTATGTTTTGAAGGCATGGATGACAGACAGATAGAAGTCAGGTGTGGAGGACGGAGATCAAGAAGAGCCCCTGTGAGTTGGGCTGAGCAGTTAAGCAGATGGCTGGTCTGTTTTCTGGAATAGACTAAAGCAGGATTTGAGTTTGCGTATTTAATTAAGAGCTTTCTTTTGAGCATATAAAGTTTGAAATGTCTACTGAATATCTGAATATCAATGTCAGATAAGAAGCTGGGTATTTTAGTCTGGATATCATCTGAGTTGCTAGGTGGGAAGACAGGCTTACCGGGTCCCTGGTGTTCCCATGGCCTGCAAGGACTGGAGAGGAGATTAAATGAAAACAACTCGGGAGGGACTATGTGGAGAGCTGAAGACCGGGTCTAGAAAATCACAGCATAAAAACGTAAGCCGTGGAAGAGTTAAGTGGCAATAAAGGGGGTAGAATAGATACACAAACCGAGAGAGTATGGTGTGATGGAATTCAAAGACAGTCTTTTCAGTAGAAGGGATGAGTCCCCCATGTGAATATTGTGTATAATTCTAGTAATGTGAAAGAGAAAGCGGATCACCTGATACACTTGTGTTATTGGCAAGGGTTTGCAATGGAATAATGTAGAACAGCCTCTGAACCAGACGAAGGACAGAAAGCGGTCTAGAAATGTGGGACAGCTTCCAGACTTTGCTTTGAATAGCAGAAGAAAGATGAAATTTTATTAGGAGAGTTATGTGGGATTAAGGAGAATTACTTATCTTTTTTAATATGGATAATATCAATGCCTATTTGGATTTTGACAACAATAGTGTGGTGTTGAAGGAGAAATCAATGACTCAACAGAGAAAAGAGGAATTCCAGGGTGCAGGCCTGTGAACAGTGTGCAAGCAGGCGCAATGCAGAGCCCCGCTGCAGGGAGGGGAGGAGCGGAAGTGCTTCCTCGCCAGAGGCAGGCAGGCTCAGTCGTGCCAGGGCTGGCAGGTCCCCTCACACACGTGCGTCCCCCTGGCCGTTGGTACTTACTTTGTCCCAGTTTTTGGCTAGTCTGCAGTCTTTTTTAATTGAAATCTCTGCATCTGTGTCACCAAAAATGTAAAAAAATAGGTTGTGTGCTGTGGATAAAGTGAAGTTTCCTATGGCCAGGATTCTCACCTGGCCCTGGTCGGCTTGCTCACTGCACTCGTGTGGGCAATACATTGTTATTGACTCTGTATAAAGAGCTCTGCCTGGTGCTCTGGGCTACACAGCTACAGGAGAGCAGAGGCTGGAGTGGTGGCAGTGCCAAGGAAAGAGGCTGAGGCAGCTGCCGGGGTGAGAGGCCCAGAGGCAGAGGCCAGCTTGCTGCATGCAGACTCGTTCTGAGTGGACAGGATTCTAGTGATTGACCTGCCACAGTGGGAATAAAGTTGGGTATAAACCCTTTAACCCCAAGAATGTTCCACCATTCCTCTGTCTCATTGAATCCATAGTGGACTTGCCCAGGGCTGAAAACCCATTGGCAAGACACGCCCTTTTTGGGTGTCTTATCTTGTTCTTTTGTCTTATCATATTCCTCTGGTTCCTCATTTTCTCTGGGTTCTTCTGTTTCCTTGTATTAGGTCATGTCTCCTTGTCTAGACAGCAGCATCTTTATGAGGAAGGCATCTTGTGGCACACATACGCTCGAGACACTTTGTTCACCAGTGCCTGGCCCCCTTTTGGTACTGGAGCCACGGTCTCTGTTGCTGGGATGTGAACATGTTGCCTTTCTGCCCACCAGCAGGCAGCGGCTGGTCCACATCGGTGGAGGCTGTTAGCCTGCCTCCGCTTGTCCTTTGTGCGCCCTGTGCTGCTGCTGCTGGGATGGCTGCAGGAAGGGACCCCCGCTGTGTGCCAGACAGTCAGGGCAGCCACAGCGGCTCTGAGGTGGGGGGCAGTTCTTCAGAGCAGCCATGGGCTGGTCTGCCCATGAGAGAGACGAAGGAGTCGGTGCTGGATCCTGCATGTGCCTCACCAGCTGGGCTGAGA